TGGCCGCGCGAAGATTGGACCCGAGATGCTGATGTTCCGGGCAGAAGTTCACTTGGACCCGTGCTACCTGCTGATGGTGTTAAAAAGGTCAAAAACGGTCGCTAAAGGGCTCTTCTAACCTATGGAAAAGCGGTTTTTTGGCGCTGGCCGCGCGAGGATTGGACCCGAGATGCTGATGTTCCGGGCCGAAGTTCACTTGGATCCGTGCTACCTGCTGGTGGTGTTAAAAAGATCAAAAACGGTCGCTAAAGGGCTCTTCTAACGTATCCAAAAGCGGTTTTTTGGCGCTGGCCGCGCGAAGATTGGACCCGAGATGCTGATGTTCCGGGCCAAAGTTCACTTGGACATGTGCTACCTGCTGGTGGTGTTAAAAAGGTCGAAAACGGTCGCTAAAGGGCTCTTCTAACCTATGGAAAAGCGGTTTTTTGGCGCTGGCCGCGCGAGGATTGGACCCGAGATGCTGATGTTCCGGGCAGAAGTTCACTTGGATCCGTGCTACCTGCTGGTGGTGTTAAAAAGGTCGAAAACGGTCGCTAAAGGGCTCTTCTAACGTATGGAAAAGCGGTTTTTTGGCGCTGGCCGCGCGAGGATTGGACCCGAGATGCTGATGTTCCGGGCCGAAGTTCACTTGGACCCGTGCTACCTGTTGGTGGTGTTAAAAAGGTCAAAAACGGTCGCTAAAGGGCTCTTCTAACCTATGAAAAAGCGGTTTTTTGGCGCTGGCCGCGCGAGGATTGGACCCGAGATGCTGATGTTCCGGGACGAAGTTCACTTGGACCCGTGCTACCTGCTGGTGGTGTTAAAAAGGTCAAAAACGGTCGCTAAAGGGCTCTTCTAACGTATCCAAAAGCGGTTTTTTGGCGCTGGCCGCGCGAAGATTGGACCCGAGATGCTGATGTTCCGGGCCAAAGTTCACTTGGACATGTGCTACCTGCTGGTGGTGTTAAAAAGGTCGAAAACGGTCGCTAAAGGGCTCTTCTAACCTATGGAAAAGCGGTTTTTTGGCGCTGGCCGCGCGAGGATTGGACCCGAGATGCTGATGTTCCGGGACGAAGTTCACTTGGACCCGTGCTACATGCTAGTGGTGTTAAAAAGGTGGAAAAGGGTCGCTAAAAGGCTCTGCTTAGATGCGAAGAAGCGGTTTTCTGGCGCTGGCCGCGCGGGAACTGGGGGGAGGGGGCGTAGACTCCGAAATGTCAGTCGAGAATGATGATATACAACTGTTGGGGCAAAAATTTTTTTCTTGAAATGTCGTCTAAGGGGTCTCCTGGGAAGAGAGAGAGTGGTTTCTTGGCTCTGGCCGCGCGGGGATTGAGCCGAGTGGGCGTAGACTGTGAAATGTCAATCAAAAGTTATGAGATCTAGCTGCTGGCGTCAATAGTTTTTTTGTTAAAGGTCGTTGAGGGGATCTCCTGCCCATAGAAAATGGTCTTTTTGCAGTGTGGCCGCGCGAGACTGGGCCCGAGCGAGCTGAAACGTACATGCGCAGTTTGGCCTCGTCTTACCCTTCGAGGTGGTACCACTTTTTGGGGGTCGGTCGAAAAAAAATTTTTTTCGAATTTTGGCAATTTTTTCCAAGTGTGCTCAGCTGTGCGGACAAAAAGACGTTGAAATCCTACATAGGGACAGGTGGGCTCGTTAGCTCGGTTGATGCGAGCGAGGGAACCGGCGAGTCAGTAAGCCCTGTTCGTCAGACATACGGTTCCCGCGTCATTTGCAAGCGCCCTGGAGTACTACTGAAGCAGTTTGTGAGGTTTTTTGGTCGTGCAGCCAGATTGCTGATAGGAATAGAACGATGTTTCCTTAGACGTCGAAGAAGGTGATGGCTCGTTGTAGGAGATGGCCTTTGGTGAGATATGTGCTTGGCATCGTTGGAAGGAAGGTGAGCGTTCCTTCGCTGACGTGCGTTCCTGCATCCTGCGGACTGGTAGGCGTTCGAACAGCATGCTTTTGGAATCGCACTGGGTAGGCAGAAAGACGTGGCATAAGTTCTGCTTGCTTAGGGTGGAAGGAGAGGCGGTTTTGTGCCCTTCTCCGTTGGTGCCCTTTGGCTGAGTGCAGAAAGCGCAGAAAGTGCGGAAGTGATTGGAAAGTCCAGCCTCGTCGGCTACGGCAAGAGGCTTGTGGCTGGAGCGTACCCTTGGCTTGGCTTAGTGGCCTAGGGTCGGGGACGTCTCCGTGCGGATAGCTACCTGGTTGATCCTGCCAGTAGTCATATGCTTGTCTCAAAGATTAAGCCATGCATGTCTAAGTATAAGCACTAGTACTGTGAAACTGCGAATGGCTCATTAAATCAGTTATCGTTTATTTGATTGTACCCTTACTACTTGGATAACCGTAGTAATTCTAGAGCTAATACATGCGAAAAGTCCCGACTATCTGCGGAAGGGATGTATTTATTAGAGTAAAAACCAATGCGGGTTCTGCCCGGTTTCATTCAAACTGTCGATCATTCAAATATCTGACTGTTTTTTTTTCTTTTTTTTTTTTCAAAAACAAACCTCTATGTCCTATCAACTGTCGATGGTAAGGTAGTGGCTTACCATGGTTGCATGCTCTGTGTTTTTAACGTGCATTTTACCGCGCTTTTTGGGAATAAGGCGATACTGCTGGATAGATGAAATTGTATTACTCATGCTGAAAATGGTGGATAGTTGCAGTGGCACGACGATTACGGCGACGATCGCTTGAGGTGCTGATGGATTGCACCAAATATTTGGATTTTTCAAACGTCGATCTGTTGACCTGGAATGCAGTCTAGATGGAATGTCTGATTAAAATAAACTATGCACGAAGGCCTGTTCCAAAAGACGAAAAACAAACCATCCATCCAGCGGTATCGCCCCATCCAAAATGGCGGAGGGAAACCTTAACGAAGAGCGTGAGAAGTTTGGTTTGTTTAAGACAATTTTAAATGCCAGAAGGCAACGCAGGCGAATGCAACAGTCCATATTGAATACTGTTATTGCAAGGAGAGGATTACTTTTGAAAGTTTTTTCATTTATTCTTCTTCTGGTTTC